CTGCATTTGTCATTAAGTGGTACTGCAAATTATTGTCTGCTTTGCATAATAATTTTTAATTCTTGTACAATTACCATAGGCAAACTAACATAATACATATTTTTGAATACGGCAAAGCAATAAAATTGACTTCTGCTATGCCAATAGGAATGGCAAATCACGTAAATGTTGTGCTGGTTAGGAACTAAGTTTAGTAGCAGTAGATAGTATATTTAAGAAAATCATATGAGATCTTTCATTATAGATTTTTTTGCTCTTTCTTTGATAATCAGTAATTATCAATTCATACCAGCAAAGAATCAGAAGAAGAAATCATAAAAAGTAATATAACTATAGATTGAAGTAGACATAGAACAATCTAGATAAATTATCCAGAGAATAGAATAGAGGTTGGACTTATTTAGAAAATCTCTACCCAGATATTATTAAATTACTTGAGTTATCTAAGTAATTTACTATATCTTGAGTAACTATATAGCAGCAATTTTTACCCGAGTCCAATCTTTAGTATAGAATATATAATGAAATTCATATAGACCTGATATAATACAGATAATATAGATAATTCAGATAAGTTATCCAAATAACAAAATTATGATCAGATAATGTGTTTATTTCACAGGTCTTATGTAACAATCTGTGCTTTTTCATTTGGTTATTGCACAGAATTGTACGTCAGACACTGTGAAATAGCAAGTATTTATTCAACAGATAATTATCTTTAGATAACAAATTATCTGGATCCGAATACTAGTATAAATAATTATATTTAGAAAAATTTAATTTAATATAGTTAATACATACCTGTGGCATTTGTACATAATAAAATAGTAGCTCATTGTTTATCTTTTTTGATTCCAGGTATTGCTTTTTTGGCCAAAGATCTAGAGGGCTACATTTTCTAGTATAATGCAGTTTCGTCACAGTTAAAAATATTCTCTAATGGCTATTTATCTAATCAATTTTGTAATGAATTGCAATATTCTAGTAAATTTTCAAGTGGTACGCTACTTGCTTCGCCGTGATGGTTAAATTTACGTAAACTAGCATGTTTTTTAAAGTTTGATAACCAGCCATCTGAGGCTTTAAAATTGGTAATATCTAAAATATCAGCAAATTGTTGTGCTTGTGCAATTAAAGTATATCTGGTGATTGTCATTTTAGTATTTAAAGCTCTATCAACTCATAGATTTAATGCTTGTTCAATTTCTAAAAATTTTGGAGTTTTGTTTCTTTGTGAATTAGCCTCATAACTATTTAAGTCAAAATTAACCTAATGGTCAGAGTTTTTGAGTATATCTCTAACTAAATTTGAACTATTATTAAACTGATTTGCTAATTCAATATTAGTTAAATTTGGATTATTTATTTTAAGTAAACATAATTCTTTTTTTTGGTATCCTTTTAATGTATTTCTTTTTTTAGAAGTGATATTTGGTTTTTCTTTTAAAGTATTTAAAACCAACTTATTTTTATGTTTTTTATTTTTAATTACCATAATTATTAAACCTTAATTTATAAAATTTGCAT